TGAAAGAAATATATACATATTATATATCGTTGGAAAGGTGACAGTCCGAACTGTAAATCAAGCATAAAATAACTTGATTTTGATATGAGTTGCTTAGTGAAAAGACGAAACAGGCAAACGAAGGGGCGGAACCGATGTCGTAAGGTGGATTGCATCCGATGAAGGTACTGCTGTGCATTTGGTGGGATATCCGAGGCGTGATCTATTTTGAGCTCTTGCCAGCTGGAGAAACGATCACTGCCAACAAGTATTGTCAGCAATTGGTCGAATTGAAGAAAGCAATTGATGAAAAACGTCCGATTTTGGCCAATCGCAAAGGAGTTCTTTTCCATCATGACAACGCCAGGCCACATGTTGCAAAACCGACCCTGACCAAACTGACGGAGATGAATTGGGAAATCATGCCGCATCCCCCATATTCACCCGACATTGCACCTTCTGATTATCATTTGTTTCGATCGCTGCAGAACAATTTGAATGGAAGAAAATTTAAAAATGTGGAAGACGTCAAAAACCACCTTGACACCTTTGCAACGATTTCTATGAATCAGGCATTCGTAAATTGGTTGAACGTTGGGAGTGGATTGCTGAACATGATGGCGAATATATAATTGATTAATAAAAGCGCTTTCTTCAAAAAATTTCAATTTTAGTTTGCACTTGAAATCGGGCACGAACTTATGCACTCATCCAATATTAATTTTTTTTTTAAATTTTCTTATTTGGTTTTCTTTTATTTCATCGAATTTTGGGTTTAGTTTAATTTTAATATATTTTTTATTATAATTTTCATTGATTTTCAATTTTTTAACCTTTTAATTTTAATTATATTTAGTTTAACTTTTATATATTTTTTATTTTATTTTTCTTTGATTTGAAATTATTTAACTTTAAATTTAATTACTTATTTTATTTTAATTTAAATTATTTTATTTAATCTTATGTTTGCATTAATTTTAATTTAATTCAATTTCCTTTTATTTTAAATTTTTAAATTCTTTCTTTCATTTTTTAGAATACCTAATTTTAATATTTATAAATTTTTGTATTTTTTATTTTTAATTCCAAACTCTGACGCTCTAAATTGTATTCCACTTCATTGCACTCACACACTGACATTCTGCAGTGCACTCCTGCTGTCATAGATACGCATTCTCCTTGCAATGTGCACTTCAATTTTATTATTTCTTTCACGCCACTTGAATGCTGTGTGTATGTGTACGCTTCACTTAATTTTATTCACTTTTCATTATGTTGCTTTTTACTTGAACTGTTTGTGTGTTTGATTGTGTGTGTGAATGTATCGACATACAATAAATATATTTTTCTCAAAAACACTTGAGACACTTTACTTCTTCACTGTTAACCCACTCTGTTTGTTGAGTGCTTTCGATTTTTCCTCCTGTTCTTCTTCTTCTTCTTTTTCTTCCACTTGTTCTTCATCTTTTCTATTAGTTGAAAAGCTGTGAAGTTTTCATTATGTTGCATTGTTCAATTGTTCTATGGATTATTGCTTTTATGTGTTTGACTACACGTGTGTGTAGATGCAAAAGTATGTACATATGTATGCAAGCATGTTTGTTTGTGTAGCGCATGAGTTTTCTGCCTCTGCTTCTTCTTCTGCATTTGTAGTATTATTATTTGTTTGCCGCTGCATGACCCAGAAATCAAAACTTGATCGACTTTTATTTGTTGCTTGAGGAGCTCAGTTAAATGCCACGGGTTTTTTGTAGGTGTAGGTGTGTGTGTGTGCGTGTATATGTGTACATATGCGTTGCTAGGCAGTTGGTTTGAAAAATCTTTATTATACTTTAATTCATCTAAGCTCTGCGATGCCTTCGTCGCGTTGACGTCTTTTAATGTTCTTTGATGTTTTGCTATTCTTTTCTTGTTCTTCTTCAATTTTGTTTATTTTTGAAAGAATTTTTTTCTGTAGCGTGAATTATTTGTTTGAGCGGCAAACTGGCTGTGGCTGCACTTTTAAGCTTGCCGCCATATTCACACGCTCTAAAAGACTCGCTTTTCGGTTGCTTATTGTTATTTTATTCTTTAAATGTCAATTATGGCTCGCTCACGCATTGCTGGTGTCGCGTGAAACACCGTTAAGTATTGTGTGAGTTGGATGAATAGATATTTTTGTACACTTAAAAAGCGATTACAATGAACTAACTAGTTTGTAAATCTGCATGCAAAAAAATATAAATAAAAACAGATAAAGAAAAGCAAAATAAAATATATAAAAATAAAATAAAAAATCGAATAAAATAAAATAAAATAAAAAACTTAAATAAAACAAAATAGAAAGAAATAAAATAAAATAAAATCCAATAAAATAAAATAAAATAAGCTAAATTAAAATAAAGTAAAATAAAAAAAATAAAAAAAAATAAAATAAAATAATTTAATATAAAATAATATAAAATAAAATAAAATAAAATAAAATAACATAAAATAAAATAAAATAAAATAAAATAAAATAAAATAAAACAAAATAAAATAAAATAAAACAAAATAGTTTAATATAAAATAAAATGAAATAAATTAATTTAAATAAAAAAAAATAAAATAGGGTAAAGAAAAATACACAATTTAAAATAAAGTAAGATAATTAAGATAAAAATAAAAGCAAAACAAAATAAAATAAAATAGAATGAAATCAAATAAAATTATATAAACTGAATTAAAATTAAATGAAATAAAACCAATTAAAATAAAATAAATTAATATAAAATAAACTGAAAGAAATTAATACACAAAGGGCAAAACCCAAAATGAAATAAAAAAATTAAGTTTAAAAAAAGCAAAATAAAATAAAATGTTATTAAAAAAAAAAGATTAACAAAATTAAACAAAAGAGCTAAAATAAAATTAAGCAAGGTAATAAAATAATAAATTAAAATGAATAAAAAAAGAAAATTGAACGAAAACTTAAAATTAAAACAATTTGAAAAAACAGCAGTAATTAAATTAAATGAATTAACATAAATAAAGATAAAATATGTATATGAAAATAAAATAATAAATAATAATATTAATATTACTACATATGTATATTTCAATATTTTTTTTCTAATTTTTACATACTCAATTTTTTCACAATAATATTTCTAGCATCTTTAATAGAGATTTCTATTTCATAGCGCTGGGCTAAACAATAGTGTCACACCTTATTCACAACCTCAAACCTGTAGGCTTTTCCCAAACCCATTTGCTGTCACTTCTGCCCACTAATTAACTTTTAATAGCAGAAATTTGGGACATAAATCTGTGCGAAATGCGTTGGTGGCATGCAAACTAAATATTTGCATATTTAAATAAACATTAATGCGAAGTAATTGAACTATTACGCAGTTGGAAGGAGCAGAAAAAGAATTATACCAAGAAAAGCATGAAATTACAACAAAAAGTGTACAAAAATTAGCCAAAGAATTACACGCCTAACGCAATGAATGACCAATCGACGACATTTAATGATCACTTTTTCTACGCTGTTGTTGTTGTTGTAAGCACCGAAAGAATCTACAGTTATTTGCGTGACGATGACGCCGATTATGCAAATTGGCAATTGCCATGTCAAGCGCACATAAAAAACGATTAAGCGTCAACTGTGCGGCAGCAGCAACCAGTGTCACGTGGAGGGAGGTAAAGTGAGTTGTCAAAATATGGGAAAAAATATGAGGAAGGTGGGAAATTGTATTAAACTATTATTAAAAAAATATGTATAAAGATTTATTAAAAGTCAAAAAAAAAAAAAAATTAAGAAAAAAATGTAGAAAAATTTAAGTAAAATTTAGAAAAAAAATAAAAAATTTTAGGAACAAATTAAACATATTGGAATAAAAATTATGTGCAAATTATAAAAAATATTTTATGATTAGAATAATAAAAATAAAGATTACATTAAAACCAAAAACTATTAAAGAAATAATTATTCACGGTAGCAACGTAATCCCTTAAATTGTGCTCGCTCCTACTGCTCAGCTCTTAAACATATTTTCCGCTTTACTCATAATGACAGTAATCCATTATCTACGAGCAGCAGTTACACTAAAAAGCGGAGAAATAGAAAAAAACACACAAAAAAAAATATCCATTGGCCAGCGCCACAGAAAACGTACAAAAAGCACGCAAACGATTTTTCATCCTCAAAACATACACAAAAAAAAGAAGAAGAAGAAGAAAATTAAAAAATGACGCAAAAACTGTCAACTTTATTAGCAGCTATGTCAAAGAAATATTCAATAAGATGACAATTTCTCAGTTGTCGCACCGCTGGCTTCCTCTGCACTCCACTTTAGTTGCGCAGGCTACCGACCCAAAATCCATCCTCCGTTTTTTTTTTTTGTAATTTTTCACATTTTTTATGGATTTTTTTTTTCACCTCCAGCTAAACCATATTGCCAGCTGAGCGTGTTCATTTATCATTTCAACTGTTTGCAGGCAAATAAATGTGAGTTTTTTTCCTGGAGTGAACTTATTTGACGATTTTTCCTTTATTTTTATTTTTGTTTTTATTTTTATTTTTATTTTTATTTTTGAGTGATCATTAAAAATTGTATGAAAATGTCTCATGTTGTGTTGACAGGCAGCAAAATGGAAAGTGTCAACGTTTGACATTTACTATTTTCTGTGTTTTCTTTTTTTTTTTTTAATTAACGAATTGAGTGTTTTGTGTATACAGCCAAAATTGACAAGCGGAGACCAGGGTGAAAAATTTGAAAATTAATGATTGATTAAAAAAAAAATTCCAAAATATATTTTCAATTACAATTCCGTCTAAAAAAAATTTAATAATTAAGAAACAATTTTTAGGATTTTTTGAAAATCAAAATCATCTAATTTTTCAAAATTAAAAATCAGAAAATTAATTTTGCTGAAAATGGAATCAAAAAGTTAAGAGCACAAAGAATTCAAAAAAATCACTCATATGTCAGAAGCGAACATTTTTCATTTAAAAATTTAAGCATATTAGCGGCACAAAAATTACTTAATGCACTTACCTATATTGGATTTTTTATCTGTAAAAAAATAAAAATAAATATTAAAATAATTAATGTTAAATATGTATGATGTACTCTTTTTTAGTATTAATATTTTCAATATTTTATTAATTTTTAAATTGTTAATTTTTTATCTTACATTTTATTCCTCTTTTTGCCGCAATTTTTTATTTTTTAAAATTTTTTTTTTTTTGCTCAAGTACTTGCGCTCATAGCGTCGTACTTTGGCATTGACCTTGAAAGCCAAAAATCACAGTGAGCAATCGCCAGCACATTTTGGCAATTGTTGAGGGCGTTCCATAGATATTTTTCGACTGATTGCTAAAGTAAATAGAAGTACTACCAAATAAGTAGCCAACGAAAAAGGCGCAAAGGCAAAAAACATGAAAAAAATGTTGACTACAAATTTTTATTTTCGGATTGTGCTAATTTTGGCAGCACGAGCCAATTCGATGGCCAGTTTGATGGCAACAAGTGCAGAATACTTAGCTACAAATATTGAAAAAACCAAGTTTCAACTCAAGGTCATAACGTGCTTTGACTTTTGGTATGTGTATTGGAAGAAGTGCTGATTTCCGGTCGAAAAGGAAGGGAATTTTATTCTCTGCTCAGTTAAGAGAAGAGTAATTTTCTAATATTTTTCATTCACATAATAATTAAAAGATGCAGAAGATGTAAGCATAATAATATCCTCGCAAAAAATTTAAAAAGAAATTTTTTCAAAAATAAAATTAAAAAAAATAAAATGGAAAAAGATTTAAATTTAAAGCAAAAATATTTTAAATTAGTTAACATTAAAAAAATTGATAAAAATCGTTAAAAAATTTTACAATTGAAGGAATGATTTTATTATAAATATATAGAAATAATAATTAAAAATTAGAAGAAATATAAAGAAACCTTAAAAAAAAAAAATAAAAAATTAAAATTGCATAAGAGTGAAAAAAAAGTTGACCAATTTTTCAATTTTTTTGTATGTATATAACAATACACATGTCTGTATTTTGTACCTTCAAAATGCCCTTCTCCCCTAACAGCTGTAAAACTGTCAAATTTAGGCACGTACATATCTCTGCTCCCTCTTCCTTTCTCTCCCCTACACATTAGCTAAAGAAACACATTTCATAAACAATTTTGACTCATTCAAGAATTTTGTTGCAATATATAACTGCATACTTTGTTGCAAGCTATGAAATGAAGTCATAAGAACACACACACATAGACACATTGCCGTCTTTACGACTCAATTACGCTCGCGTGCGCTTTTCAAATGTTTTCGAAACATTTCCATTTGCTTTGATTGATGTGACATTTTGTTTGAGTGTGTTTGTGTGCTTTAGTTGTGGTTTTTAATTAAATTTAATTACAAAATCTAGTATTTGCCACTCAGCACTGGCGGCTGGAAGTGTTTGGTTAGCTGGAGTGCAGTTATTTTGTGGATTTAAAATTTAATTTTTCATTTATTGTTGTTGAAATTATTAGGTTTTGACTGTTGAGAGATTTTTGACACAAATAATTCGCTAACTGGAAATAAAATATAAAAAAAAAAAAAATTAAAAATAAATAAATAAAAAAAAGTAAAAATAAATAAAAAAAAATAAAAATAAGTAAAAAAATTAACGAAAAATGTTAAATAAAGTTGAAAAACATAAAAAAAAACAAAAACAAAATTAAAAAATTAAAAAAATATATAAAAAATTAAATTAAATCAAATATAGTAAAATAAGAAAAAAATAAAATAAAATGAAGATAGAAAATAAAAAATAGCAATATGAATTACGAAAAAATATAATAAAATAGGCTAAAAAAAATAAAATACAAATAAAAAAAATAAAATATAATTAAAATAAAATTAAAATGAGAAAAAAATAAAGCAGTACAATAAATTTAATAAAAAAAACTGAATTAAATAATAGAGTATATAGAATGAATTGGAATAAAGTAAAAAAAAAAATTTAAATTAATGAAGACAAAAATTAGAAATAACAAATAAATTGAAAATTGAATAAATTTTTTTTTTAACACAATACCGTTATATCTGCAGAGTTTCTAAGTCACACGCCATCTAGTTGAACCATATCTCTCTGTAAGGTTGATGAGGAAAAAAGGCAACGTCGCAAGCAAAAGGATCAACAGGGTGCTTTTTTTTTTTGAAAAATGGCAACATTGTAAAAAAAAATTAAAGATTTGTAAACCACTTTCAAGTGTCAGTAATGCATTAGTAGTGTTCCCATTGTAAAGAAAATTGGTAACACGGGTAGCTATAAGTAATGACTTTCTGCTCTGAAAGCGAAAGGAAGAGGAGAGTTTTTAAGAAGACTTAAAAATCACAAGTTAAGACTATTTCGTAAAAAATTAGTAAAAAGTTGGTTTAGATGGGGAAAATTGGAAACTTTTGACTGGAAAATCACACATTCAGACTTACTACTTGGCAATCGAATTACAAGAATTAAACAGTGGATTAATTTTCATTACGAAAATTGGCAACATTGCGCTATAGAAATTAATCATTTCTAACAATCGGCGTAGAAAGGGATGATTTCTTACCAGAAGACACTGTTGAACCTACAGGAACTGCTTTTCTTAAACGTTCTCTTCCATATTCCACTTCTGAAAATTAAACTTCAGCAAAATGCGCATCAGTTTTAACAACGCGAAATAAAGAGAGAAAATGTAATAAAAATATAAATAAGTGTTTTCACAAGCCATTTACCGCATACTTCATTCCGCTGAATGCTTTTATGATAACATTCAAAGACATATGATGTACAAAAACAACATATGTAAGGATGCAGCATGGACTTCCGTTTGAGAAGTGCACTTACTTCCTCGCCCGCATAAAATATACTCACAATACAAACAAACATTTAAAGCTAAGTGAGTGCATATGCACTTTGACCTAATGTCTTTAACCTATTAACGTCGTTTATGACCAAAAAATGGAGCGTAAAAGAGTATAAACAAAAAGCATGACACTAAAATATGGTAGGACATAAAGAGTAAAGGAGTGCTGGCCTGAGGAAAGAGCAACATTGAAATTAAATTGAGCAAAATGAAGATGCATAAAGTGAAAGATATGCGTCGCAGGGTAGAGAGTTTGAGGAAGTGCATGGAAGAGAGAGGAGAGAGAGAGAGAGAGAAAGAGAGAGGGAGAGAGAAAAGGAGAGTGATGCAACTGCCATTAAAGTTCACCTACTTTGGTGACAAACTGCGAATGGAGCATAAAGAGATGCGGAGCATTTTAAAGCAAACCAAGCCCAAGTTGACTACGCTATTTCACTACCGCAAATAGTGTGCAATAAAAGAGAAATGCGTGTGTGTGTGTAGGTGTGTTTGGCATATGAATTTATGCATCCCTGCTTCCTCCTGCGCCCACTCTTCACTCTCCTCACTCTCCTCACTCTCCTCACTCTCCTCGCTCTGCGTCCATGCGCCTGAAATGATTGCTATCAAATTTCTTGTATGCAAACATTTTTCATTTGTAAAGACTTTTCTATTTTTTCTTTTTCTTTTTTCTATTTCTATACTTGCAAGCTTTCATTACAGTTTCTGAGCTTTAAATATTCATGTCTTCATCAATTTATGCACTGAATGGTAGCATTTTGCTCCTAGAGCATTTAAGCACTTTTAGCATTGGGAGGAATGTTTTGAAATAAAATTTCTACTGATTACATTTCATATTGATTGATTTTTAATTGATGCTTAGTGTAAATAGCATCACACATACATACATATACATACATATACACAGTCAGCTGAAAATTCCTGTTAAAGTAAAATAACACACAGAGAGCATATTCTATTAAATGTTAAGTGACTACCCAAGTAAATTTATATACTGACCCTCCTTCAACCGCTTGCTGCTGAGTGGAAAGCTCGTCGACAACTTGGATGAATGCTTGGCTAAGTTCACAAATCATTGAGTAGATTTGTTGGTTTTTGAAAAAGGATTTTCATTAATTAAAATCGAGTTTAAAGAGCTTGTAGGTCGCATATACAATGAGAGACTGAAGTGATATTGGCAAGGGTGACGAGGAGACACCCGTTTAGAGGACACACTGGCGAGTATTCGTTACGTGGAAAATTGGCAGCGTTGCAAAAACGGAGGAAGTTTTATTACTAGTAGAAAATATAATATATAATTGTCATAATGATAACAGAAGAAAATTCCCAACCACACACAACAAGAATTCATTATGATGAAAATTGGTAACATTGTCGGGAGATATAAATTGCATAAAAATAAATTTTTTTGAGCGAAAAAAGAATTGAAAATTGGCAAGAATAACTTAGGAATTACAGACATTATGTCGAATTGTGAATACCATAATGGAAAAGTTGACCTGCAACCACCATGAGAGCAAGATTGTCACCGTTTTTGAGTGATAAAAACTATAGAGAAAAGTCAAAAAGCTAAAATAAACGCGACAATTTGTTATATAATTTTTTTTTACGGTGAAAATTGCCAACGTTGTACGTGAGAACATCAGGCATTTCATTAATAAACGTTGCAGTATGCAAATATATCAGCTCTTAGTGCAAATTATGCCAAACGCGAAATAAAAAGTAAGCTGCATTTGAAGCTGAAAATTGGCAACAATGGAAAGAGAAGTGCAAAGATAATGAAATATTTTCACTGTCGTAGAGAATGTAAGACAAAATAAATATAATTAAAAGAATATATAAAAAAAAAGACAAAACAAAAAAAAATCATTATAAAATTAAAATAAAATAGGATGAAATCAAATCAAATTAAATGAAGAAAAAAAATTATAAAAATAAAATAAGATAAAAAATAGCAAAAGAAATATAATTAAAGAATTGAAATGTAAAATAATTAAAATAATAAAAATATAAATTATTATATAAAAAAATTTTAATAAAATAAAACAAAATAAAATACATGAAATATAATAAAAACAATTAAAATAATTAAAAACTAATTTAAGAAATAAACTAAAATATAATAAAATAAAATTATATAAAATGATTTAAAATACAATTAAATATAAATTAAA